CCTCAGTACCCCTTTGTTCTTAAAACTAGGATAGGTTAGTTAAGGTTCTTTAACTTTATTAGGGCAAAGTAGACAATAAAATTAATTGTCTAATAACTGAAAGTAACCATTTGGAACAACCCAAACTAACATATACACTTACAAGTGTATAGTAAGTACAACCAACAGACTGATATTTTATTAAAATAGTCATCAAACTTGGGAGGTGGAATGTTGATTTACTTTACCTGATTCTTCAAAGGTCATACATGTCATAGGAATTTCTCTAAGGATAATAAGAATTCTCTAGACAAGGCCTTGACTACTGCATACAATGTTGTTTGGGTTGTCTTTCTGTGCTGTGCACTGCCCTTTTCACAGGGAATCATGAAGTCAATTCAATCAGATTTAAAAAAAAAAAACTTTTACAACATGAATTCTATAAGCAAAACCACATTATGTTCTGAGTAGGTAATATTTGACCTCTGAATTCCATTCTCCGTTATACAAAGGTAGTGACCTCTGTAAACAGAGCCCATTCATCCACCTCCCAAGGGTTTGACTAAGAAGACAACTGTGGGGAAAAATGTAAGTGAAAGAAAAGTACTGATCATTTTTTCAATGTCGTCAGTTTTGTCATGTTTCCATATAAACAGGGCAACTTTTGTTGATTAAAAAAATGCCCCAATATAAAGGTGCAGAACAGAGAATCATATACTACAGGCCTAAGATCACACAGTTAAGGGCTTTACTGCTTTACTGAAAAAAATCCCTGTCACCTAAGATATCCCACAAGGTCTCAAACCAAGATCCAGTGTCTGTACCAAACGCTTTGTAAGAAAATTAATCAGATCTCTGTAGCTACTCAGACCATCTGCTTAGCATATCATCTGTACAGTCACCAAGCACGTGCAATCTACAGGTGAGTATAAACTACTACCTTATAAATCTAACTCCTAATACATGACTGTGCCAGGCATAGGAAAGGGGATGGCTCTATCCTAAGAGATTATAACCATTTCTTTTATCAATAGATATCAAGGCCTACTTTTACCTACTAAAAAGAGCTTGGTATATTCACTTCTTTGTTTTTCATCATCATTAACTCTTAAATTTTGTTCTCAATACTGAGTCCCCCTCAATGTTCTACTAATTATCCTCTCTACCAGCACATGTGTGGATCTTACAAAACACAAACCCTGTTCTTGATCACACAGCCACACAACCATTCTTCTTTCTCCATCCACCACTAAAGGCGAAATTCACCCACTCTCTACCTCATCATCTCATTCTCAATCTCTGCTCACTATACCCCGATTTCTGACCTAACTTACTCTACAAAAACAACTATCAATGGCATGCTCCAAATTACTAAACCTAAAAACCTTTTCCCCCAATTCCCATTGTTATTTCAGTCTCTGATCAATTGCTGACACACTTTTTTTTTTCTTTTTACAAAGGTCTGCTTTCAACTGTATGTGAGACCTAGATACTTTCACCTTCTTACACCTACATAAACATTTTATCTTCAAAGTTCCTCCCTTCCCATACTCTGGCCCCCAAGAATATGATCATCTGAGGATACGCCTAGAAAATAATTTCTATCTATAGCGTATAATTCTACCTCAAGGGTTTGCAATGTGTAAATGATCAAAATGTACTAAATCAAGCTTATTCATTCATCAATCAGTCATGAACAAATAATAAGCCAGTATCCAGAACTAGAATCTCAAGAGGTAAAAACTGAAATGAAAGGAAGGAGGCATACATCTGAACACAGACTCCCAAAAGTCACTGCAAAAGTTTGGTTCTTGCTTCAAGATTGACAAGAGGCTATGGCTGGTTACTGTTCAACACGATCCACACCTAGCAAGTTAAAGAGACACAGAGGCCACCCTCTTAAGTAGTCACTTCACCTGCTCTTTAAAAAATGAACCAAAAGCCATTCCTGAGACAAACTACACCCACAGCTCTGAAGTTACAAATGTCATCTTCTGATGCGAGAGTCAGCAAAGTAGGCCATGAGCAAAGAGAGCTGAAAACATGTCTACCAAAAGATCCAGCAATACATACTCTTACATACCTGCTGACTTGGTTAGTTTTCTGTTGGTGTGATAAATCAACCTGACTAAAAGCAATCTGGGGAAGAGAGGGTTTATTTGGCTTAAACTTCCACATCATAGTCCATCATCAAAAGAAATCAGAGCAAGAACTCAAGGCAGAAAATAGAAGCAGAAACTAAACTGAAGCAGAGGCCAATAAGTTGTTTATTGGCCTGCTCTCCATGGCTTACTCAGCCTACTTTCTTATACGACTCAGGAACAACTTCCCTGGGTGTTCCCACATCAATTATTAATTAATCATGAAGACAGCCTACAGACTTGTTCATAAACCAATCTGATGGAGCATTGTCTCAGCTCAGAGAGCCTCTTCAAAAAAGATTCTAGCTTGTGTCAAGATGACATAAAACTAACCAATATACCTGCTCACCCTTGTTCACTGCTGCTCTGTTCATGATAGCCAGAAATTGGCAACAACCTAAACATCCATCAACTGATGAATGGATAGTGGAAATATGGCACACTTACACAACAGAATATTATTTAACTGTTGATAAAAACAAAATTAAGAAATTTGCAGATAAATGGATGGAGCGAGAAACAATTACCCTGAGTGATGTACCCTAAAAAGGCAAATATCGCATGTTTTCTCTTATATACGGATGCTAGCTTTTAAGCTTTAGATATATGTGTTTGATTTAAAATATCCATAAAGGGGGATGGGAGGGCAATGTAAAGAAGGGGCTATAAAGAGGGACAGGGGACAACTAATACTAAAAACCTTTTGAAAGACCATATGGAAACCTACTATAGTAGAAGCTTCCTAAAATATATGTATATATATACATATATAAATGGAAATTAAATGGGGTTACCATAGAATGGAGGAGGCAATGCATAAACTAGATATCATATGATAGGAAGTAAATCCCCACTTCCCAGGAATGAGTTGCATCCTGTTGTGTTGTTGGCCTCAAAGAGCATACCCACAAATACGACAGGTAATTGCTAGTATTCCTGGTTTCCTTCCACAAGCTGATATTAAGTCAGCTGAAGACACCACTTATATTACTAAACATGGAGAAATCATGTTGGTGCCCAACTAGAAGCTTTCTCCCTACTGACTACCATTCATAGTGCTAGAAGGTAAGATTCACACTACTAGAGGAGAAAAACAGTCACTAATCCCACCAAGCTATGAACCCCACGACCTACAACAGTGAGCTGCATGCAAGACATACTGTACAATAGCAGTATAAATGTTATATGAGTAACCAAATATGTTTTGATTGGATGCACATTCCATGAGATAGAACTTAAACCTGACAGTTAATGAGGCCAGAATCTGAGACTAGCAGAGGTCTGGGCCCTAGGGAAAACCTACTATTATTCTGCTAAAGAAACATAACAATAAAGTGATTCCTAATGACATACTGCTATACCCATAGATCAGTTCATTGCTCAGCCCCCATCAGAGAAGCATCTTCTTCAGTATATCATAATCAACACAGAGACCTACAAACAGACAATGTGAAGACAGGAAGAGATCCTGGAGAGCTCAGCCATAAAAGGGATGTCGTTATTAAAGCCCTCCCCACATGGTTTAGAAATCTATGTGAAAGAAGTGGAAAGATTCTAAGAGCAGAGGAGGTGGATGACTCCAAGGAAACAGCATCTTCAGAATACAACAGGGCTGATGCACATATGAACTCACAGAGACAGTGACAGCACACACAATAGTTAGAGAAATCCTTAATGGTACAGCCAACATACATTTTTCATGAAGTGATTATCCTCCTGCAGCCTCAGCTTCCTAAGCCTTTCCCCTTCTATAACTGTTTTCTGTGTAGGCAAAAATTACTCTACAGCAGCTATCTGCTGCTTTTATCACTAATTGCACTATAAAATACACTATTAAAAGAGGAACAAACAAGACTGTAAAATCCACATAATGAACCTTGACCACATACTAAAGCCATTCATAAACAGGACTATACCGCTTATCTTTCTTTACTTTTCCATATAATTATATAATTATTTTTCTAATTTTTTTATTTCCAGGAACTAACATTAAGAAAAGAATCTTTTATTTCTTAAAGATAAGAACATTGACATGTCTTCTTTAATACCTTGATTTTACACATTTACACAAAATTAAAGTCATGTCACATTGTATAATAAGACAATGACTTCCTGGTCAAATATGATTCTTTGAAACAAAGGACAAGCACAGCAAACACATTTAAGCTGTGATTTCTCCTCAAACTTTAAAGTATGGACCTGAAATCACAGTGGAAAGCCACAGAAGGATTTCACAAGTCCAACTAATGAAATATAAAAGACAACAGAGCCAATAAAACATTAATGTCTTGGGGAAAGAAAGAATGATCAAAAGGGTGATATCATTGCCAATTACTGCAGAAGATGGGTCAATGGGACAGTCTGCAGTATTTCATACACTGTCAGCATTCACTAATTAATGGATAATTGTCAGTTTACAGGTGAATCTTTCAATCCCTTCAGTATTTATACACAAGTTTAAATAACCATTTTTCTGAAAAAAAAAAAAAAAAAAAAAAAAACAGGAAGAAGTTAAGAACAAAAGATAGCCACAAAATAAACAGCAGCTCAGCTTTGAAAAACAAAGGATAGAGGACCAGTTTAATGGCCTGGGACTGCTGTTGCTTATTACTAGGTCATCCATCTGCCAAACAGAGAAGCAGCTAGTGTCTGGGTTGTAAGGACCAGCTGGGAAAATTGACTTGAACTTAAGATTACACAAGGGAGAAAAACTCCATTTTTATAATACCAAACCAATATCATTTAATTCAATAAAAATAATTTTAAGATATCTGAATGGCTAAAAAATCCTTTGTCAAAATGCTCAGTACTGGGAAAAGCTGTGTTACTAAATGGCCTTCCATGGAACCCACAGACTGTGAAACCACACACAAAGCTCACTTTGTCAGAGGCCTCGGACGCCAAGAGGTTAGTTGCGAGGGTTTGCAGCTTATGATGTGCCATGTTTTTAAGGGCAGCAAGGCTCCGTCTTGTCATGGCTTGTTTCAGGTTGATGGCTGGATGACTAAGAGAGTCTACTGCAGCGGGAACGGCTTCATCACAAGCATTCAGTATCTCTACCGCTGTTATGCCCATCGCACAGCGATCCAGCGCACCTGGAAGGTAATGTATGTCCATGTATATTGTGCAAAACTATGAACTTTTAATTTGCTTGTTTAGGCACAGAAAAAAATAATATGTCCCATGTATTATGCAATACTACGAACTTTTAATTTGTTTAGGTATAGAAAAAGATGGCATATACTTTTTATAGGAGTGTCTTACTACTACTTACCCACTAACACTACCTTGTACTCCCTTCAGGCACTACTCTTCCACGTAGGTTCCACAGTTATTCTTCTCCCCTAAAGTTTCACGCAGTGTTTCCAATCAAATCAAATCAAAACCAGGACTTTAAGACCTCCACCAGGCTTTTCCCCTCTTTTGTTTCCCAGGAGGGTTCCCTTGACTAGTCTATGACTTTCACATTATTTTTAAACATCAAGCTCAATGATTTCACCTTTCTTATGGTCTTCTATCAACATTAAACAACAACAAAATAAAAAACCTCACTAAAATGAGTCCATTTTCTCCTTCAATAATTTCTACAGCAACCACAAAACAGGAAGGAAAATGTTGAGTCTTCTCCATTTAATCTTCAAAAATGTCTTCCTCACTGCTGCTTCAGTGCCTCCTACACGCTGGGCAAGAAGAAAGTGTCCAACCACTGGGCTACATCCCCATCTTTTGGAGTCTTAGTTTCACTGTGGTGTGTTTTCTCATATGTTTATAAAATAAGTGCTGTTTCTAAGCGCATCTACTTCAAAGCGCCTCATCTGGCCTCCCTTCTATTTACCTCCATCTACATGTCTCTCCTTCCTTTCATCCTTCCTTTCCCTCTTTCTTTCTTACCTCCCTTCCTTTCCTTCCCTTTCTCTTTCTCCCTTCCTTCCCCCTTCTCCTCCTCCTCTTCCTCTAATTCTTTCTTTTTTTTTTTTTATGAGACAGGATCTCTCTGTGTAGCCCTGACTATTCTGGCACTTACTCTGTAGACCAGTCTCGCCTGAAACTCAGAGATTCATTTGCCTCTCATTAAAGGTGTGTGCCAGCACCACCTGGCTTACACATTTCTTAAGATAGAATACAAATTTCCTCCTGAATAACATGGGCTTCATCACTACCATTAAAACTCCCAGATTATTTTAATAGTTTCTCTTTTTCTCTTTTACTTTCTCCTTAATCCTAATTACCAACTCATCAACTATATATTTTTAAGACTAAATTATTCTTGTGTGTATGACTGTTTTGCCTGCGTGTATGCCTGTTCATCACATGCACTCTTGGTACCTGCTGAGGCTAGAAGATGGTGTCAGAACCTCTGAAAGTAGAGTTGCAGACAGTTATGAGCTGCTATCTGGGTTCTGGGAACTGAACTTGAGTCTTCTGCAATAGCAGCAAGTGCTCTTAACCACTAAGATAGCTCCTCAGCCTCTTTAGATCCAGAACTATGAACTACACAAGAACTAGAGAGTTTGGGGTGTTTTGCTCACTCTATGTATAGCATTAACTATTTATTGGTTAATTAGACACATACTTAATAGCTTAAAATAGAGTTCTTGAAAATCCATGCAGGGGGAAAATACCAAGAGATAAAAATGGAGAAGCCACATTTATTTTGGATTTCAACTGAGTTGGGAGATACATATTTTCCTCTTGTTGCTGTTCAAGCTGTAGCTAGTGATATAAAGGTCCCTGGAGAGTCAGGAAGGTACATCCTGAAGGTATTGGCAGTATTTATTTATTTATCATATCAATAAAAAATGAAGCTCCATAAATCAGGTTCAGGCAGGATTTGATATATGAAATGTACTTAAACTCTGAAGACTACTTGAGCCATCTTCAAGTGTTTGGGGGAACACTCAAACCCAACCCTGCTTTTCTGTTCGCTTAGAAACAGCTCTCCTGGTTAATTTTTGGTTAGACACCCTCAGATACCTTTCTTATTCACTTAATGTGTCAGGCTTTAGTTGCAGTTTTCCTTTTCAAACTCATAGGGATTGCTTGAAATTTTTCATCAGGAAGCGTGATATTGGCTTTGGCTTTGTCATCTATAGCCTTAATTATGTTGAAATATGTTCCTTCAAGTGCTACACTATAGGACTTCTATTATGAAGACATACTGGATTTTATCAAGACTTTTTCTGTAACTTTTGAAGTGATCAAGTAATTTTTGTCTTTAAGCCAATGCATGTCATTTATTACATTTGCTTATGTGTATGTTGAACCATTCTTGCATCAGTGGGATAAAGTCTACTTGGTGACAGTGAATAATCTTTTTGTGCATGCCTGTAACTGGTTTTTATGTATTTTATTGAGGACTTTAAAATCTCTGTTTATCAGAGATGTTGACCTATAATCCTGTTGTAGTTTTTTCTTGTGTCTTCTATCTGGATTGGTTATTAGAGTGACACTGGCTACATAGATGGAGTTGGGAGTGTTCCTTCTGCTTTTACCTTAAAAAAAAATAGTTTAAGAAAGATTGGCTGTAGATTTTCTTAGTAAGTCTCATAGAATTTTGCTGTGAAACCATCTGGACCTGGGCTGTTTTTAATCAGAAGCCTTCTGACAGTTTCAATCTCTTCATTCATGGTAGATCTGATTAGGTTGTTCTTTTTTTGATTTAAGTTTGGTGGTTCGGCTGCGTCTAGAAATTAATCCATCTCATTTATATTTTTTCCAACTTAATGGAGCACAAATTTCTGAATTACCTCTTTATAACAGAGTTTTTTTGGTACCTGAAGGGTCTAATGATCTTGTTTATTTTACATTTGTTGATTCTTTGCAATTTTTGTTTAAATTTTAATAATTTCTGCTCTGATTTTTATTGTTTCTTGTCATGTTCCGGATTTTTGTATGGTTTGTTCTTGTTTTTTGAAATTCTTGGGTTACATCATCAAGTCATTTGTCTGTGTTATTTCTGATTTTTAATGCAAGCACTTAGAGTTGTAGTTTCCCTTGCAAAAGTGTTTTTAATGTGTCCCAGAGGTTTTATCATATTGTGTTTACTGTCATTTAGTTCCAGGAATTTTTTTTATTTCTTTTTTTATTTCATTGACCCATTCATCATTCAGTTATGATTTGTTTCACTTCTGTGGGTTTCTGTACTTACTAGTGATTTCTCTGCTGTTAATTTTAAGCTTTGTGGAACTATGGTCAAATAGTCTACACAGCGCTATTTCAATCTTTCTGAGTTCCTTAAGATACGTTTTCTGTCTACAAATGCAGTTAATTCTTGGGAAGCTTCCATTGGCCACCGGTAGAAGTGAACTCTTTTGGTGTTTGGATGGAACATTCTGTAAATATCTGTTAAGTCCATTTAATGCATGATATCAACTAACCCTGACCTCTCTCTCCCTCTCCTTCTCTATCTTGCTCTCTCTCTTTGTCCAGATAACCTGTCTATAAAGTGATATACTGAAACCACTCACTGTTACTATGTCGATCTTAATCTATCAATTTAATTCCAGTAATATGCTTTTTATGAAATTGGGTTCAGCAGAGTTTTTGCATGTATGTTTAGGATCATAATGTCTTGGCTAACTGTCCCCTTGAATCTGATGAAGTGTCTTTTTCATCTCTTCTGATTAGTTTTAACTTGTAGTCTATTTTCTCAGCAAATAATGTAGCAGCACTACTCACCTTACAGTCTCATTTGCTGATAATACTCTTTTCCATCCTTTCTCTTTAAGGTGAGGCCTATTTTTAATGCTGAATATCAAGTAGGTGACAGAAAAATAGATTTTGATATTAAATCTATTCAGCCAGCCTATGTGTTTTGATTTATAATTGAAGCCAATAATATTTAAAGTTATTGCTAAAAGAATGGTGTATGTTAAATGCAGTCATTTTAGTTGTTTGGCTTTTTGCTGTTTGTGTTTTAATTATACTGTTTGTTTCAGAAATTACAGCTTCTTTGTTTAGCATATAGCCAGCTTCTCTTCAGTCTAAAGTATTGTTTCCCATATTCTACTTAGGATTGTTCTACTGGGTAGAAATTTTCTGAGCCTGTTTGAACCTAGGAATATGCTCCTAACTCCTCCAAATATGGAAGATAGTTTTGCTGGGTACTGCAAGTAGTCTAAGCTGACAGTTTTGGTCTTTTAGGACTTGGAGTGCAGTGCTCCAGGATTGTCTGGCTTTCTAGGTTTTGAAATCGGTGGTTATTTTGATGGAAATAAAAAAGCCTATGATCCTTCTCTTGCTCCTTTCAGTACTTTCTCTTTCTTCTGTACATTATTTGTTCTGCAGCATGTTATCGGGCCATTCTCGTCTGTCTGCTGTTCTGTACTTCTTATCTGTATGAGTGTGTCTTCCTTAACTTAAGCCTGTCTCATGCTGAGCTTGTGAAGGAGCTGCATTCTGAGAGCCAGGATTAGGTGTGTGGAGGTGGTATAGACAGGCTCCCAGGAAAACCCCAACTATTCCTTCTGTTTTACAAAATTTTTAAATTATGTGTATGTTTTTGGGTAGGTATTTGCATGTGAGTGACAGTGAATGCAAAAGCCAGAAGAGGTAGTCAGTCCCCTGTGGTGGGTTATGAGCTGCCCACGTGAGTGCTAGGAATCTAACAGGGGTCCTCTGCAAAAGCAGGGCAGGCTCTGTACAGCTGAGCCATCTCTCTATCCACAGCAATTCTTCCTCTAAAAGTACTCAAAAGTAGATCGGAAAGAAATACATCACAGTGGCCATGTTTACAATGAGCTCTGTGACTTCAGTCTGCCATTCTTCTTTTAATCTTTAGTGTTTTTAAAATATAACAGAAATATTAATCCCTCTAACAATGCAAAGCAGAAAATTCAGTTAAATGCAAAAGAAGTTTGTTAGATTTCAAGAATGCCTCCTCTTGTCAAGAATGATGAAGATGTGTCTACTTATTTCCAAAGGGCCTGATAATCCCTACTCTATAGCAATACAAGGAAAATATGCATCAAATCTATTTTAAAAGACTATGTAAAGCAAACAGAAGGGGAATAAAAACATTTAGTAAAATCATTTTAAATAATAAGTAAACTAGCACTCAAAAGAAAAGTTTTAATCAATGATACATATTACTTAAGACTGCAAAAGCATTAGCAAGTATGCTTTAAAAAACAAAAACCTAAGCTAAAACATTATTTCATGCTGTAATATCCCTAGTAATATTCCTGATCTGTATATGAAAAATCTATCAGCACCTGTGCTTTTTTGCTAAGCAATATTTATTCTATACTATATACCATACATAGAATGCAAAGTTGAAATTTCACATGTTGTCTCAGTGTCCATTTCAATTTGGCTCCTAATATTACCTGTAAGTGTAAATCCTGCTTTATTTCCTCAGAAGTGGGGATGAGATGAAAGCCACAGCCAAGCTGTACGAATACACAGCTTGGACCAAGCCCAGAGCACTTCTTTCTCTGATCTAGCGATCCTTAGTCCTAAGCTTGGAAGCTTCTACCCTCTGTACAAGCTAATCTTCGGTAACCCAAACCTTGAAGGCTTCAACTTCCAGCCTCTGTCTACTAACCTAGGCCTATGATGTTTCAGCCTCCAAGATGTACTGCTGAATAAACTCACCTTTTCTAGCTCTTTCTGAACTCTCACTGGCTGGTTCAACTCAGCTGTTCTGGTCCAAATTCCTCTCCAAGCTGACTGATTCAATCTGGCTTCTCTCTTGGCTTCTGACTGAGTTGCTCTGCTTGGCCTCAAACAAACTTTGGCAATGTGTTCTATTCTTCTGGCTCCTTCCTACTCTCTGGCTCATTCTCTCTGCTACCCGTCTCTGTAAAACTGTCTTGATAAAACTGCCTCACTCCTCCTCCTATGACTAGTACTACTACCACTCTACCCCTCTCTTGTACTGCTCTTACGTAGCCTCTCTTCCCATCTGTTCTCGAGAGTTGGGCCTATCCTATCTCTGACTCATTTTGCCAAATCTTTCATTGATTTGTCACTTTGTCTAGCACTCAATTAGACATCATAGTTTGGGATTAAAGGAATGTAGTAAAGGCCTGTCTGTATTCCAGCCAGAAGGATTAAAGGTGTGCACTAAGGGCATATCTGTGTTCCAGCTGGATCACACAGACCTAGGGCTTTGGATGGGATCCCTTGCCAGCATAGCCATGTTGCTTGGTTAAAAATTCCTCTACAATTACCTGGACTGCATCACTTTCCTGCTATTCAAGTAAAAATGAGGTTTGTCTTTTTTTACTGTTCTTGAAAATGAGCCAAACTGTCTCCTTCAGCTTGCGTGTCAAGTCCATAAATAATATGGACATCACTGCTTATTTGTCCTCATCTGCACACTACCCTCAATTGCACGCCTTTAAGGGCTGTCGAACCACTCTATGACTTCTAACATAATACAACAAAAATCATGCTTTGTGGGTGATGATAAAATTAGAAAAAATAGTTATAAGAAATATAAATAGGAATCCCTTTACATTTCTGGGCTTTAACTTCATATAAAGAACTATTCTCAGAGAGTCAAATACATTCTTTTAAGTCTCTATTTCCTCTCCACGTTTATTCTTACCAGTGTCCATCTGCCAGACATACACAGAGCCATCTGTGCATCCCACCACCAGGTAGTCATCAGAAGGCCTCCACTTGATCACCTGAATAGGAAACAGGTGACGAGACGCCAACATGATGCACTTTTTCTCTCGCAAACTTAGAAGTCCTACTGAGTGGTCACTGGCTACAGAACAGATGCAATGTTGAACTCTTGCCTAAAAAGAAAAATAAACTTTCATTACATTTACATTAAAATCAGAATAAGGTAGATCTTGCCTCCCAATAACTAAAATGACAATTACTTATGACTGCCATGTCTGACAAGGCAAAACTGGGCAGGGTGGGGTGCAGTAGGTGGGGTAATCTGCTCTCACGTGTACCCTTTCTGCAATATGAACTTACTTTTCTGTTTCTGGAGAGAGTGGCCTGTTGGTCCATTCTGCTCATGACTCAGTTACACCCATGCTCCTCCCTGCACTTCTGTCCCAACACAAACCTCTCACAGTCCCACAAGCACAGTCACTCCTTGAAAGACCCAGTTATCACATACTATCTGCTAATTGGCATCCCTGTTCCTGTCATGGTGTCTGTCTATAATGACAGAAGGTGTAGCACTTCAATTAACCACACGACAGCCAATTAAACATTCCGCTGTGTATTCATGGCTCATTGCTAGGTTCTGCCCTTCAATTTTCTTTTACAGCAATATTGTTTATAAATAAGCAACGAAAGTAAAGATTTTTCCTAACAAGAGAGCTGAATCTACTTCAGCAAATTAAAAACTAAAGTCTTTTAATTTCCATAGGCAATTTGTAAGCAATTTAAAATTTAACCATATGAAAGCAATCATCTGACTATACTGTGACGATCTGTTAAGTAATAAGGCTCAGCAGGAGGGCCTCCAGAGCACCACCAAGAACCATGCATGGACTGGATCTAGGGACCCTACACTTATATACCCAATGGGCAACTTGGTCTTCTTGTGGGTTGCCTAATAAGTGGAGCGTGGCTGTTTCTGACATGAACTCGGTTGCATGCTTTTCCATCAGCTCCCCCTGGTGGGGCTGCCTTCCCAGGCCACTGTAGAAGAGGATGTGCTCGGTCCTGATGTGACTTAAAGTGCTGAAGTGGGTTAGTGGAGGGGTGGCCTTTCCTGAGGGCGAGGGGAGGAGGATGGGGGAAGAAGGAAGGATGGTGGGACAAGGAGGAGAGAAAGATGAGGACTATAACTGGGATGTAAAATGAACAACTAAACAAATAAAGATAAAAGTTAAAACAAAAAAGAAAGTCGAATAGGATGTAAGTGGAAGGGAAATGGCATTATCAAAAGTAGAAAAATCTTCTGGTGTCCATCTTGTTTGCCTTTCTGAATAAAGACTGAACATCTTACCGGGGTCCTTCTTGATAAGCTTCTTTAGGTGTACAGATTTTAGTATGATTATCCTACATTATATGTCTAATATCCATTTGGACATCAGAAGAGGGAGAAAACAGGAAACAGAACAGGAGCCTATCACAGAGGGCCTCTGAAAGACTCTACCCAGCAGGGTATCAAAACATATCCTGAGATTCATAGTCAAACTTTTTGCAGAGTGCAGGGAATCTTATGAAAGAAGAGGGAGATAGAAAGACCTGGAGGGGACAGGAGCTTGACAGAGCTAATACTAACAAAATATAATGGTAAGGTTAGGAGATGTGCTAACCTTGCTTCCTTGCTAGCGGAAGCATGTCATGGTTGATGGGCTTTGTGATAGTCAAATGAGAATGGCCCCGTAGGTTCATATGTTTGTATACTTGGTACCCAGTTGGTGGAACTATTTGGGAAGGGTTAGGATTTGTGGCCTTAGTGGAGGAGGTGTGTCTCTGGGGGTAGCTTTGAAGTTCCAAAGCCTCACGCCATTCCCAATATGTTCTCTGCGCTTTGTGCTTGTGGTTCAAGATGTGAGTTTTCAGACAGCTACTTCAGCCTCCATGCCTAATGTTGTGCCTGCCACTTCCCTGGCATGATGGACTGCTCATCCCACATAAACCCTTCCCACTATACAGAACTTTGGACATGATGTTTTAACACAATAATAGCAAAGTAACTTATACATTGATAATCTAGCAAAAAGGAGTAGAGCCACTCAAGTGAACAAAACTCCTAGGAATGGGGAAATCCTCCTGAGAAGTTTCACTATCAGACATTCACCTTCCCCAAGACACCCAGGTGGGTCATTTCAAAGATGAAAAGAATAAGAACACTGAAAAGTGTTATATCACACTGCTCTTATATAGAGGAAGAATAAGGGGAATAAAAGACAAATATTAGCTAATTGCACAGCTTAAGCTTTACAAGCAGACTATGGGACATTAAGGTTTTAGACAATCTTTGGAGCTGTAGGAATGAATCATTGGATCGCGTACCTGAGCCACAAGCCAAGCTGCCCCAACTTGCCTCCCACAGCCCAGATAGGGCAGACACAGGAGGATCTCTACAGCTTTCAGGGTCCTACTCTAGAAGAGATGCTAGCTCCAAGCTGAGGCCCAACATCCTCTTTTGGCCTCCAATACAAGTTCATGTGCAAGTTTGGATGCCTCCATGCATGCACACACTCACACACACATACACACACATTTGTTTTTTGTTTTTTTGTTTTTTTTTTATAGTGTCCCAATTCTATCTCTTCATGGCCACACAATACATTCTTTTATCACATAAATTTACCTAACTACAAACTTCCTATGTAGCCAAAGATAACCTTAAATTTCTGCATGTTTCTTGGACTGGTCTTAAACTCATTATACAGATAAAGATGATATTGAACTTTATCTCCCTGTCTCCATCTCCCAAGTGTTGTAACCAGTTATGTGCCCCCACCAGCCTGGCTTTCTGTATTTCCAGGAAAGGAACTCAGGACATCACTCGCATTAGCAAAGAAGGCACTCTAACAATGAGCTATATACCCAGTCGCCATAAGATGATTATTTTCTTACAATATAATAATGATGAAGTTGGCAAGTGTCCACAAAATGCTATGTTGTTATTATAAAAATCACATACCCTCTCTGTAAACAATAAAAGTATTTGAAGAATAAGCCTTAGCTTCACTACAAAGAACACTCTTGAAATGACCACAATAATCAAGAATAAAAACATAAACAAACACAAAATAAATCAGTATTAGTAAGTAAAAAAAAAAAAATCATGGTTATTAGAGGTACTTAACTCAAAAGAAAATATGGTGCTCTGTTTATTAAATACAGATTAGAATAAACCTAATTTTCCTTCTTTGAAGAAAATTCTAGTCCAATTCATATAAAGAAAACTAGCATAGAATAGAAATGACTCAATATACCAAAACCTCATTAATTCTAATTTCACTAATTAATTCTGTGTTAATGGATACCTTTGATGCCCGTATGAACAAATTAACAATATGAACAAGGCAAATGATTCGCTTATTTAATGTAGAAGGAAAAAGACCATTCAGGCACTTCTTTAGTATTAATTTTGATTCAATGAGCAGAATTATGATAAATAATTCTTAGCTCTCTATTAAATGAAAGCACTTAAAAGATTTGCTAAAACACAATTAACATGTTATTATCTGTCCTCAGAATTATTATGGAAGAACTTCTAAAAATATTTAACAACTTACATTTCTTCTTGACTTAGATCCAACTTTCTTTATCAGCTAGGTTCTGGAGATCATGGCACTAAACACCTACTTTGTGTATAATGACTGATTCTATAACCTAGCAATAGTACTTCGTTCTTTTTCTACTTCAATATGGAAACATCAACTAAAGATGATTTAACAATAGCATTGTAACAATATAATGTATAAAACATTTTGATGGTGTAATTAAAATGATTATACAAGACAAGCAGGATGATGTATATATGTAATCCCAGATCTTGAGAGGCTGAGCCAAGAGGAAAATGAAGAGTTCAAGAGAAAAGCTAGATTACACAGTTGCAGGTGAATGGGTTACAGACACAGACACAGAGACACACACACCAAGGTTACTCAACTAAAAATTGTAGCACATTTGCACCAAAACTTATTTGGAAAGCATCATGCTCCAGATTATTTCAATCATTTACAGATTAAAAAATGTTGAGGCGTGTGTGTATAAATTATTTGTGCCTCTGTAAAAATATGCACATTATAAGTATACATAAACATAACTTTTAAAAGGATAACTCATGTTTAAATAAACGGACTTCAATTAGATTTTTCTTAGTAACTTACGAATGCTTATAATAATACCACAGGCACAACAATTATCTTTACAAGGCTTCACTGTCAATGATAGTGGATACTTATGCATACTTTACATGACTATGACTTTCGGTTATTCTTCCAGTGTGTTGGAGTAATCGTTCCTTAAATCCAGTGTGGCTAATAAGATACTTATTCTTTACTGGAAATGCCTTCCATGGCTCAGAGTATACCAGCAGTTGTATTTGTAGACAATCCAGGTTTGGTTCCCAGAACATACATGGCAGCTTACATGTGTAATTCCAGGTCCAAGGTACCCAACACCCTCTTGTGGCCTGTAAGCACATTTTACACTCTGCATGCACTTAAACGCATGCAGGAAAAACACTTATTAACATAAAATTAAAATAATTAAATCTTTTTTAAACAATCATCCAAGCTCATGGATTGGTAGGATTAATAAAAAAAATGACTATTATACTAAAAACAATCTATAGATTCAATGCAATCCTCATCAAAATTCTTCACAGATCTTGAAAGGACAATGTTCAGCTTTGTATAGAAACACAAAAAAAAACCAAGACAACCAAAACAATTCTGAATAAAAGAACTGTAAGAAATTTCACCATCCCTGACTTCAAGTTGTACTACAGGGTGGTAGCAATGAAAACAACATGGAACTGGCACAAAAACAGTCATGTTGGTTAATAGACTCAAACTGAAGGTCCAGACATAAATCCAAACATCTATGGACACCTCATTTTTCATCAAGAAGCAAAAACACAAATTAAAAAGAAGACAGCATATTCAACAAATTTCCTGGTCTAACTGAAAGTCCACATGTAGAAAAATACAAACAGATCCATATTTTCACCCTGCATTAAAAACTCAACTCAAAACAGATCAAAGACCTCAACACAAACACTGAATCTGATAGAAGAAACAGTGGGAATAGCCTTGAACTCATTGGCACAGGAAAAGACTTTCTGAACAGAACAATGTTAGCT